AGAAATACAATTTTTGCACTGGATTTCAGTGTGGTTCCTGCTATAGGCTCTGCTATATGAGTCATCTGTGCTCTGCTGGTCATTAAACACAGTGTTTGATAGGTATGTTGGAAAAATGAAATATCTACCTCCTCCTGAAGAAAGATCAACACCCGTTTTTCTAAGACTTGTACTGATAAAAAGCTGACTGGATCCTGATATACATGTAATGCTTGAACCCAAAATTGTGGAGGTACTGAACACTATGGAAAGTCCTTTTCATCTTGTTGCATCAATATAATTAGCTACCAACCTTGTGGATATAGGTAACTTCCATCTTTTTTCTGCTGAATAACGCTTGAAAAATATTCTTAAATTGAAGGCTGATTTTCCTCTGAAAGTAAAAAGTAGGAGTATACACATTCGTCCAAAGAGTTATATTTACTGGTACATAGTCAAAGGCAGAGGAACCTCTTGCAAGCTAAGTTTTTTGGTTTGGTTTTAATGCAAATTGGAAATATCTCAAAAAGGTAGTTTGTTCTACTCAAAGAAACCTCTAATGCAATTTGAACTGCAAATAAGTAATTCTTAAGGGATAATTGTGATCCTCAGTATCAATCAGTTTAGAACATAAGTGTTTTTAGTAATTTTATTATATCAGCTGCAGTAACTTCGGGTTCATTTCACTCCCATTCAGCTACCTGACATGCCTAAACTAGTCATCCTACCTCCTCCTTCAAGAAAAACAGAGCTACAAGCAATCCCAGAGATCAGTTCATCTCACCTACCCTAAATATCTGTCTTAACAAGGTATGTGTCACATCCTGGGGCAGCTTAGTTTTCTCAGGCTTGTCTTTCTCTAAGCCAGTTTGTTTATGATGTCACGCAGATGCATATTTATATCACATCGGATTAAACACCTTTGTTACTGTACACTGGCACTAAAAGACAACTTTTGAAACGCACAAGTGAGAATAACAATAAGCAGAGTGTAAAGTGAAAGATGTAGCAAAAATTTTAAAATGTGGCATAAAAGTTATGGCAGTTGCTTCATTTTGAATGGCTTTTCCAAAAGTACTTAGAAGTTTTCTCATAAAAATGTAACTTGAATACACGTTATAGCAATATATACAAATACATATATATATACACATACACATGTATACACACTCTCCAATTAGATACTAGATGTTTAGCTGCTGAAGGCACAACTCTGAGCTACCTACCTCTCTCTGCTGTGGAGAGGCTCCACAGCCAGCTCCTAAAACACCTTGATTGATGGCGCAGTATTTTCAGGCAGACCAAAATCAGTGCAGGTTAAGTTAAACACTACACGGCAAACTGCAGCAGCCTGGGAGCTGATTGACAAGGTAAGGAGCTGGGGATAGGCATCACCTTAAAGCATCTTTGCTCCTCAGCCACAGCTGGAGACCGTGGTGTCCCCAGGAAGGTGCTGCCTGTGGGCGGCATGTCAGCACTACTGCTTCACAAACTCCATGCCATCATGTCAAAAAGCACCTCTAAAGCTTTGCAGCTGCCAGGCACGTCAAGGACCTCAGCGTATTTTGTCTTGTACCAAAACCACCTGTGTACAGTGACACAAGAAGGGCACACCACCTATGAGAAGCTCTGAAGGGTGGGTCTGGAAGTATTTCAGGTGACATACACAATTTAGATTTCATCAGACCACAGACACCTCATTTAAAAAAATAAGATTTCCATCTCACCTACTTTGTTTGTGCATAAAGGAGATTACCTGGAGTATCAGAAACAAATTATGAATACCCAGTCTCTGGACAAGGAATGTAATGCTTATGTAGGAGAGGAAGTGGGGACCCTCAGCCTCGCATCTGACAGCCCCTCGAAAGCTGAGGCAGGCTCCTGGGCTGGGAGGGGAGGGCAGGGTTAGATCTGCAGCACGTAATAGCAGAGAAAAGGTCAGTCACATTGTGCCCATGCAGAGCTGGGAGCAAGCTTCAGAAATCAAAACGTGCCCCTCTGATAAAATTATGCCTTAGGCCACATAGCAATCCAGATCAGGAGCACAAAGATAGGTCAGCATCTTTGAAGGCTTCAGATGCTGAACTTTTTCTCTAAGAGGTGTTGTATTAAACCTCATCAGTGCTTGCTACTCACATCAAATGTTCATTCCTGTTGCCTTTGGTGACACTTCTGCTTATACCCCAGAAAAGCAACAAAGCCAAAGAAGAAAAACAGTAGCACCCACCTGAACAAAAAGAAATCTTTTGACAGAGTCCAGTTGCACCAAAAAGGTGCAATAGGCAAGGAAAAAAAAAAATAATCTAAAATTCTCCACAGAAATAGTCTCATGGTCTGACTACCACAGGCCCTACTACAAAAAAAAAAAAAAAAAATATATAAAGTTCCTCCTTTATTCTAAAAGAATTTCATTCATGACTCTGAAGACAATGCTTTAAAAATTAATATGCTTTAAAAGCGCTAGAAAAATAAGTCAATGCTTTAAAAAAAACATTGTAACCCACTTTTCCTCCATTTGTGAGGATCACTTCTGGGTGTAAAAAGAGTTCTTAATACTGAATTTTTTAACACAGGGGACACTCAATTACAATATTTTGTATTGTGATTGTATGTGCTAAAGAAACTAAACCTGAAATTAGAATCTCTGTGCATTTTCAAAATAATAATTTTTTAGGTAATACTTGTTTTTTCTTCTTCTTCTTAAAATACACAACTTCACAATCAATCAGTCATAGGATTTCCCTTGGGACAAATTAACCCCTTCCATGAAATAAAGCTAATATATTATTGATATTATTGATTCAGTGATTGAATCAGGCTTCAGAAGCATTTCTAAACTTTAAAGGAAAATAAAACAACATTCCATTATACTTACAGAGCCCATTTATTTCAAGAAGTTAACACTGCCTACATTTAAACTTTCAAGCAATGTGGCACAACAGGAGTGAATTCATGGAATTAAACAATTGGTGCTGAAAACGTGGCGTCCACACTATCAGCATTCAGGAGGTTTTGGGTTGGACCAGCTCTGGTGGGATCCCACGTGCTCAGCATCCATTAGCGAAGGAGTATGTTCAGTGCACTCCTGGAAAGCATCAGGCAGTTCATTTTCACCAGAGAGAATGCAGTTTCTGTACTCTGAAGATGTTCCACTATGACACAGTCCAAACCCTGGTGAACTGGGATGGCAAGAGATGACCTCAAAAGCAGACTTTGGACCCAAATGTAAATACTAATTAAACAAATGCACTGTCAAGATAAAAATTTCTCTCAAAATGTTTGCCTAAAAAAGTTTCAAATAACACTTTAAGTTACTGTAGGCAGAAAACATTTAAAGAAAAAAATGTTTACATGTTTTCTGTGTCTTAAATTACAGCTCTTCTACATACTCAATTACTCCCATTTCCCTACTTCTATGAAATTCCACCATAGAAATATAAGAAAAACATGTATAAATTTAAGACATTTTACTGTACATCCTTAAAACAGTAGATATTCTGGATATATACAAAACATATACAATACACAGTCTCCCTTCACTGTAGTGGTCTGGCTACTAGTTGTGCTTTTTTCCCAGTTTAGGAGTTTAATGTTGTTTAGTTCCATAAAAGTTTTCATGAAACATGTGATTTGCTGAGAGCAAACAGCTCAAAAAGTAGTGCATTCAATATTTAAGCATTATATTCTTAACAAAGTTTTAATAAACCTTAATCTTAAGGTTGAGTAGTCTTTGACTAACAATATAAAACTGAATTTGTAAGCATTAAAAAAAATTCTTTATCTACAACTATATTTTAAAAAGAGCAAAACTTCAGCTCATATTTGAACCAAATCTCAGCTCAAACATCATTCTGAAGATAAATTCCATTTGATTTTATCAGTTTTGATGGCCTTTCTCTGTTTCTGCTGAGATAAAACCGGGAGGAAGACACTGACAGAGCTCCTGTTCCTTGGTGGTTCAAAACCCAGTTAATTGGAGTGTGCTTGAATGAAAAGCCCACAGATTAGGCACGTATCTTACTCAAATCAATGACTCTGTTGTAGCTTATCTTATACCTTATTCATAAAAAGGTACCACATTTATTGCCATGTCTATACAGTACTCCCACTGGTTGTAGAACCAGCAACTACTATTCATTTCTGCCCACCAACAATGATGTAGAACTTGAAAATTAGGTTTGCCTGAATGATAACTGCAGGTCCGTACACTTCTAAATAGGAAACATTCAGACAGCAATGGAGGTCACATTCAAATGTTTTGACTCGTTTGAAGATTATTATTGCTGTATTTCCTATACATATGTACACAAAGAAACATTGGGAAAAACAGTAATCATTTCCAGGCTGGTAGAAACTTGAACATGTATGAAATTACTGCCCCCAGGCTAACATCTTCCTGTCCTACTGACAGAAATATTAATTCTCAGAAGATGTTCCTATCAGCAATAGTATAACAATTCTGGAATGAAGAAACCTTGAACTTGTCACCACAAAGCTGTGGAAACCGTTGTGCTTCTGCACCAGTGTGCTGGTGTTCTCAGTGAGCCAAAAGAAGTCAAATCAGGCTGTCAAACATTAGTAAGTGAAACTCAGCAGCTTTATCTCACCCTTCCTCTGGTAAGAGTTGGGTTCTTCAGGAACAGCAAGCAGGATACATTCTTCACAGTACACCTGACTATTACTTATACATTGCTTAAACTTATTTTCAGTGACAATGCAACCAAAATCCTAAGTTTGATGAACCTACAGTTTGTTAAAATATGACACTGTAACAAAAGAAATAGTGAAGAGTTGAGTTCCCTTAGAGCACAGGTTCTTCCTTTCTACATGTAAATGAACCACATTAAAAAAAAATATATTTGCAACATCATAAAATACAGTTCTGGTAACTGACTCGCTTGGTATCCATCTCAGCTGTGACTTGTTCCTCCAGTTTGCAGAACATTTGATAGGGGAAGATATCTCCCTACCCTTTTCCTCAGGTTGAAATGAAACACCAAGCCAAAAACTGCATATGAAGATCATGATTTCTGGTCTTCCTCTGATGGGATGACTTCCAAGAGGATTTGCAATGTTACAGTTACCCTGTCTGCAAAGATAAAAGTGTACACATGGGAAATTAGCAGGGGGGAGGAGAAGGCAGAAGCAGCCAGGAAAATTATCTTAGCTGCTATACAGCCCGCTTGCACATACAGTTAACAGAGGTCATATATACCAGGTGCATATATAATTTAAATGTCCAATTCAATTATCTTTTCTTTTTAGCTAAGTTTTCTTTTCCTCTGGTCCAAGACTATGCATATACAATAATAACAGAAGGGTACAGAGACATAAACTTCTTCAATAAAGGTCCGCATGCATTTAAAGGTTTTTCCTGAAGCATGACTACTGTGCATGACTACTTGTAACAAAACTGCAATGTTGAAATAAAAGTCTGAAAAAGTTCTAACAACCTAATTCAGTTGTGCCAAGATACCAAGACCTGTCTAAGGAAAAAAAAACAACACCAAAAACCAATGATTTCAAAGCTTCACAGGTCTACGAATGTCACACATCCTGAGATCCAAAGCAACTTCACAGTGTCTTTTTGTCACTCTAGACGTTTATTTCCTTCTGGTGTTTTTGGTGATTTTCTTGTTAGACTCATAAATGGCACAATTTACATAGAGCATACTAAAAGAGCATTCTCTTAGCACTCCTTTCACTTATCACTTTTTTTAAGTAAACCCTTTTAAAAAACAAGCAGGAGTTTTTGTAAGAGAAAGTTCTGACTTTCCTTGTCTGGCACAACATGTCGGCATTTACACCAGTGTAAAGCGAGGAGGATGAACAGTGCAACTCACAGAAGATATGAACCAAAACTACTTTCCTGCTCTCCTGTCTAAGGCAGATTTTACCATCATTTACTCTTCTCTCTGAAAGTCACAGTTCAGTGCAAAACCAGGTTGCCCTTAGACTATAAACTAAGTGGCAGAGCACTGGGACAGGCTACCCAGAGAGGTTGTGGAGTCTCCATCTCTGGAGATGTTCAAAACCCACCTGGACACTTTCCTGTGCAACCTGGTGTAGGGACCCTGCTTTGGCAGGGGGGTTGGACTAGACGATCTTTCAAGGTCCCTTCCAATCCCTAACACTGTGATTCTGTGATGGGGTCAGAGAGGCTGAGAGTCAACAGGGACTGCATTTTCCTCCCCTACCCAAAGCAGGAACTTCAGAGGTGGACTGAGCATGGCTGGGGTGAAGGGCAGGAAGAAAGCCAGCATCAGGAAGCCAGCAGGGCTTTGCCCCTGACACCTCACCCCTCCAGGTCTGAGGCTGAGCAGAGGAAGAAGAAGAAAAACAGACTTTCTGTCAAGCTGAGCTATGGTGTAACAGCTCTTGGAAAAGGGCATGGCAGCAGAGGGAAAGCCTGGGCATCTTGAGAGCTGGCTGGAATTTTAATCTGCTGTTTGACAAACTGGAGAGAGACACCTGCAGCAAGACCTTGCCCTCCCCGTGATGTGTGTGGCTGCTGCTTTTCCATTTCCACAGGGTAGTTTTGCTCTGTGCTGGGAAGAAGCCATGGAAGAGCAATCAGGCAAGCTGGGGGGCTGGGGTGCCTGCTTGGTTTTTCTGGTTGCAATATACTCAGGATAAGACAGTATAAAGTATTTTCCCCTTAAAAAAGTTCCAATCTTTCTCTAGTCAGTATCTCTGTATTGTCTGCTTTGGGCAGTACCTGGAGTTACAGGACTAACCTCACATTTGCAGAATTGCTTCAACTGGAAAAGACCTTTAAGATCATCAAGTCCAATCATTAACCTCACAGTGACAAAACCCTGTCTAAACCATGTCCCTAAGCACTGTGTCTAGAGGACTCTTAAATACCCCCAGGTATGGGGACTCCACCACTGCCCTGGGCAACCCATTCCTATGCCTTTCAGTAAAGAAATTCTTCCTCAGATCCAATCTAAACTGCCCTTGGTGCAACTTGAGGCCATTTCCTCTCATTCTGTTACTTTACATGGTTGAACAGACCAACCCCCACCTCTCTACACCCTCCTTTCAGGCAGTTGTAGAGGGCAATAAGGTCTCTCCTCAGCCTTCTCTTCTCCAGGCTAAACAACCCCAGCTCCCTCAGTCGCTCCTCATTAGATGTGTTCTCCAGACCCTTCACCAGCTTTGTTGCCCTTCTCTGGACACACTCCAGAGCCTCAATGTCCTTCTTGTAATGAGAGGCCCAAAACTGAACACAGCACTTAAGGTGAGGCTTCCCCAGTGCCAAGTACAAGGGTAAGATAACTTCCCTGGTCCTGCTGGCCACACTATTCCTGACACAGGCCAGAATGCTGTTGGCCTTCTTGGCCACCTGGGCACACTGCTGGCTCATGTTCAGCTGACTATCAATCAACACTTCCAGGTCCCTCTCTGCTGAGCAACTCTCCAGCCACTTCTCCCTAAGACCACTTAACATACCATGACAGCAAAGATGACTCCCCCCTCTGCTTTAAACCCTACTTTTCCCTTTCAAGAGGACAATTCACTCTAAATAAGTCCCAGAGGACAACCTTAATTAAAAAAAAACCCAGACCTGGTATCTATAAGCACCACATAAAGCTAGAGTGAAGAAAGAAAGCAGTCAATGACTGCACATGTATAAGGCTGGACACCAACCCTGTGACAGCAAAATGCTGAGAGGATTTCCTGCAGATCCCAACAGCACAAACCCAACAAAGAGAAGCAAACTGAGCATATAACACTATGTCCTGAGTAAGCGTCTGCTGTTTGTAAACAACCCTGAAAGAGGCATTTTATTATATAAACAGATCTCTTTCCCAGCATGGGCTGAGGCGATGAATAAAGCAGGATTCAACTTTTAAGCTCCTTGCAATTCCATCCACTGTAAAGAAATAGATGTTTTAAATATGAGTCTAAGGTTGGTTTTTCAAGGGAAGAAGCCCAAATGGAAGTTTTCTCAAGCTGGTACCACATGCTTTTACACAGTAATCTGCTTCATAGGATTTGCTAGTCTTGACTTTTTTCATTTTCACATCAGTTCTACAGAAAGCAAGAAAGTGGAGGTCAAATGAAGCCTGTACTAGCTGAAAATAATTTGTCCCAGCACATCAAGTGCTACAGCAAAATTTATTTGGAAGAGAAGAGAACAAAATGTTATTCTCACTGCAAAATACCACCCAGACCCTATTAACCCCACAAACTGTGAAGTTACCTTTTGTTCAATACAGCAATTTGGTAAGGACAATGGGCAATGTAAATGCCATTAAGGACAGTCAAAACATACAGAACAAAGACATTTAGCCTTGGAGAGGATTTCCTGGGTAATCCATTTGAGGGCTCTGCTACTGTAACCAGCTTGAAACCCCTTTTGTAAAGTACTCATCTTCAGGCTGGGTCTCTTATGCCACTACTCAGTCTGGCTGTTCAACAGCTCTCTCCTCTGATCCTTACAAAAGCTATTCTGAATACCCAGTCTAATCTCAAGTGGGGCTGGTCTGTACTCCTGTGGTTTTGAACCAGTGCTGTCCTTTACTTAAATACCCCATGTTCCACACAGGGTTTATGAGCAGCAGTCATCTGTCACCTCCAAAGCACGTCTGGAGAGCTGAAGAAGTCAAGTTCCCCAAGAAGGTGACTCTACAAATGGGTCGAGAGCCTGACAGCACTCTGTTTGTGCACTGAGCTGTGCAGATGGAGCAGGCTGGGAATAGCCCTGTTAGCACGGTGCAATGTTCAGACTAACAGGCTTTGACTCCCCTTGTGCAACTACGTGAAATGCTTTGTTGAAGTAGGTTGGATCTATCACCTTCTTTGTCTAGAAAAATCTGTTATCTTCTCAAAGAAGAAGATACTCAGATAATCTGGCAAAAATCTACCTCTTAAATGACAAACCCATTTTTTCATGTTGTCCTTGACTTCATCTCTGGAATTGCTCTTTCATGCCTTCGTACACCTAATGCATATTGCTTCAAGCTTAGAATATTAAGCTTGTAGCTGCCCAATGACTTTTCTATATCTCACAGAGGTACCTTAAGTGAATTTATCCTCATTCAATGCCTTTGAAAAATGCTCTCAGGCTATACAACGGAGCTCCCTTAACAGTCACAAAATAGTGCCAGTTTAATGACTCCACACAGAAGGTTTATTGCTTCTTCTGAGAAAAAAAAAAAAAAGAATCTTTCTATTAACAAGTGAATCTCCACTCTGCTCCACCCCAAAACTGTCAGCATCAGCTTTCTGTCATTACTTTTGTTATTTGGGGAATAACAATTGCAAAGCAAACAAGCTGTTTCACCCACTGACTGGCATCCACTGCTTTCCCCTCTGAGCCAGTACGCTGTGTCCATCCGTAGATATTACCACGGGCAGCAGGCCTTCTTTCTGGGAGGAGAATTTTGTGTTATCTGAAAAGCTACAAGATTCACCTGCATTGTCAGAGCTGGCAGAAAAAGCTTCACATCTACCCAGTCTACCTTAAAGAGAATAGGTTTTTTTTTTCTCTCAGCCAAGTAATGCAGTTCAACACTGGCATCCTGTGGTCAGAGATTCAAGTAACTGCATTTCAAAACCTCTGAGACTTCACAGAAAAATGACAAAAATCTCCTGGGTTTGATAAGGGAAAATTTCTAGTCCCTGAATGTCAAGGCTAAGAAATTATAAAGAGATTAAAAAAACCCACTATTTAATAGAAAATCATTTTGCATACAACTGTTTTCATTCACAGTGGAGCTTTCTACCCATCACCAGAACATTGCACTTAATTTATAACTTTATGGATATAAAATTAGGAAGACCAGAGCATGCTAGCCTTAAACTAACATCTTTTTCTGTAAATACTTTCTGCCCTATTGTCTATGGACTTTCCAGCATGAATTGAGACAGAAATTCATAGATCCTACAACAGATAGAATATAACTATATAACCCATATTTATATAGAGGAAAATACATATAAAAAGTTATAGTATAATAACATACATATGAAAACCCCATTCTTTTCTTGTGAGCAGTTAATTTTAAAGCATCCCTTAAGACTGAAGCACAGAAGACAACATGCATTTTTGATTGAGCACCTATACAAATAAACAATTTTTAGTTGAAAACTTTCATAGATCGAGTTTTCCTTTTGCAGTAGAATTTCTTTCAGTTTTGTTAAATAAATTAGCCATCAGTTCCTCAAATATTTTGCCTATATTCTGGTTTCTTGCTTTGACCATTACCTCCATTTCAGAAACCTAGCATGCTGAACAACAAAAGAGAAGAATGGGCAGCTGTAATAAATTATACTGATTTCTTTCTAATTGAAATGCTCCAAGTAACCCTCCTCCAACACATCAGAACTTCCACAAATGCTTTCAAAAACTCTCAGAAATGGTATAAAAATTATTCTCAGTGTATTTCAGGTGTTAAATACACCAGCCAAGTCAAGCAGAAGTCATTTTTCATGAGGCACAGAAACAATTTCCAGAGAGGTGTGTCAGGCACAGTACATTTTGCTATCGTTTTGTCGGGAGCTGCTGCTAAGGACAATATCCCCATACCAAGCCTGCCTGAGACTGTCCCATTCCAATACTCCTTAGTGATCCACAGACACATGGTCTCAGCAGTGAGCACCAAGCCCATCCTGTCATCACAATTCTGATGACTGATTCTCCTAGGAGTGTAATACTGTCTCTATTAGCATAGGCCAATGGCCAGGGGAGGGAGGTGGGTGATTTCAAAGGAATTATCTGTTTGTAGGGGAGGAAAGGGAGAAAGGGACGAGGGGAGAAGCACAGAATCATAGAATGGTTTGGGTTGGAAGGGACCTTTAAAGATCATCTAGTCCAAACTTCCTGCAGTGAGCAGGGACATCTTCAGCTAGATCAGGTTGTTCAGAGCCTTGTCCAACCTGACCTTGAATGTTTCCAGGGATGGGGCTTCTACCACCTCTCTGGGCAACCTGTGCCAGTGTTTCTGTAAGAAATTTCTTCCTTATATCTAGTCTGAATCTCCCCTCTTTTAGTTTAAAACCATTACCCTTTGTCCTACCACTACAGGTCCTGCTAAAAAGTCTGTCCCCATCTTTCTTATATGCCCCTTTTAAGTTCTGTAAGGCTGCAATAGGGTCTCCCTGGAGACTTCTCCAGACAGAACAACCCCAATTCTCTCAGCCTTTCTTCACAGGAGAGGTGTTCCATTCCTCTGATCATTTTTGTGGCTCTCCTCTGAACTCAATATCTTTCTTGTGTTGGGGGCTCCAGAACTGGACACAGTACTGCAGGTGGGGCCTCATGAGAGTGGAGTAGAGGGGGAGAATCACCTCCTGTCACCTGCTGGCCATGCCTCTCTTCATGCAGCCCAGGATACGGTTGGCCTTCTGGGCTGCATCCAGTCATTTAAAGTCAATCACTAGCTGAAGAATAGGATTGCTGTAAACGTATCTCGTTTGTTAGTGGACATTGATTGTAACCGGCAGAGCGATGCTATAGCATGCGCCAAAAAGAAACTTGCATTGTCATCCCCAACTCAGAGCAGCTGAGAGGGTCAATAGGGAGGATTTCACAACACAAGGAGCCCTGAGAAATTCCCAGACTCAGCATGAAAGAGAGGAATCCCACCGGGCCTTACCTAGGAACTTTCTGAACCACTTTGGTTTCTTGTCCCATACAATAAAGAGGTAGTAGGCAGGAACTCCTGTCAGTGTTATTGCAAATCCAATCCCTGTATTCACTGGATCAGAGTAAAGTGACAGTGCAACCATGAAGAGGCAGGTGAAGGAAAACAACGCTGGAATAAATAGAGGCACCTGAAAAATAACCACACAAAGAACCATTACTTTCCATTGACCTTGTTATTGAATGACTATGGCATTTAATGTTCCATGAAACGTAAATTGGATAAAACCCAGAAGTACAGGATAGTTCTGGAGAAATATGGGCATCTAGAACGTGCACACAAAATGTCAGTGACTGCAGGAACCAAGCTATGCAGAATGCTATGCAGTGAGTACCATACAAGTCTTTTAATTACACACTAAAACACTACAGTGTTTTACATCCTTTAAAATCTAAGGGCTGTAAATAACTTACATCACGAAAGTCCTTTCTCTAATCCCCTAGTAGATAAGTAAGCAGTACTAACTGCAGTAAAGATTTCCTCTTTGATAATTACCTATTAGAAAACATTTTAAAACACAACCAGGAGCTCAAGTCACCTTTTAAAACTATTAGGAACATATTGATTTTCTTCCTAAGGTAAAAATCAAAATCTAGCAGGAAGAGAGCGAATTAAACACCAATTTGACTAGTGATAAAGATATTTGATAGCACTATGCAATTGATAGCTACTTAAAAAGCACTTTCTGACTGTATGACTGATAGCACTACCAGTGTCAGTACTGAAAGTACAAAAAATAACAATATTAATTCTCTCAATTTTCAAGAACGCCACTACAATCACTATGTTAGCATCTCTCTGAAGGAAACGCCTACAGGCATGGCTTGTGAGATGTTTGATGTAATGGAGAATTGGAGAATTCCTTGGAGATTATTCTCTTCCTTTCATGCCTTGAAGCACTACTGTTCCTCTTTTGTGCACCCTCAAAGCATTTTTTTTTTAATCAAAGCAAAACAGGTTGGGCTGTGACCTTCTTATTTACAGAGACACCTACAAGAATGCAACGGCGCACATTCTTAGTTCACAAAATAGGCTTCTTGGTAATATATAAATAGGGATAGATTCCTCTTTTTTTTTCTTAATGGACGTTATCTTTCCAGATACACAATGGGACAACATACTTTGTAAGATCTTACTTAAAATGAAGCAAGAAGAATGGCAGAACCAAGGCCAAACCAGCTATTGTTCAATGGGACAGACTAACATTTTCTTTCTGAGTTCACAATAACTGTGTCTGCCAATCCATTGCAAATCCCAAATATCATAATAATAGCAATAGCAACTTATTTGCACATCAAATTGGCATATCAGATAGTGGATAGGCAATGAAATAAAAGTTTAATATTAATTCTTATGCCAGACATGAATTTTGATGGGAAAATTATTCAGACTTTTATCAAAGGAAACATTAAAATAGAGGACTGGCTGAAAATCAGGTTGGCGCATGTAACCCAAATATTTGCAGTTTGAACCCTATGTGACTACACAGGTCTAGAGGTATTTAGAGGTATTTAGAAGTATCTGAGAAGAAACTTCTTTACAGTGATGGTAACAGAGCACTGGAACAGGCTGCCCAGAGAGGCTGTGGAGTCTCCTTCTCTGGAGACATTCAAGACCCGCCTGGACACCTTTCTATGTGATCTCATTTAGGTTCCTGCTCCAGCAGGGGAATTGGTCTAGATGATCTTTCAAGGTCCCTTCCAATCCCTAACATTCAGTGATTCTGTGATTCTGTATTTTCACACAGCTTGCATCACGCTGCCTCAGTGTCACTTTGGCTTAGCAGCTTCAGTCACTGCCCCCCAAGCACCAGGGGGAATAGGCAAGAATTCTCTTTCAGAAGGGAACACAGCTGGAGTAGCACTGGGGAGCTTGCAGGAAAACACAAGGATACCCTCCAGTGCAAAAGACTATTTTCTATTAACTCCATTTTTTTCTTGAAAAAGAGGTTAGCTTTCTACACCAGAAAATGCTCCTTTATTGTCTGACTACACAATAGATAGGAGGGAGAAGGATTCATGTAAAACAGTAGAGAGCAGAGGTTACCTTGAAAGGACGAGGCATATCAGGACGTTTATATCTGAGATAAATCAACCCAGCAACTACTAGTCCAATAAAAAGCCACCTGGCAAAACTGAGGAAATTCAGGAGGCTGTAGAGATCCCCATTGAATAACATTATCATTGTGAGAGGATGCTGCAAAAGAAATTCAGAGCATGAGAGAGGTTTACTGGATTGATCTTGACTATTTTACAGCAGCAACATCAATTTTTTCCATGGGGACGAGCAGCACAGCCTTTTGCAGAAACACCTGAGGGCCAGAGACTTTGGGCCTGCCTTTGTCATGCAATCAGGTGTGTGATCAATACCCAGCTGTCCCCTGAGATCACATTTGATCAATATATATCTGTCCTGTGTGGCCATATGTGATCAATACATATCTGTCCCCTGTGACCCAGACAAATACACAGGCACACAGCCCACTGCATCACCCAAATGCTTGAGCATCCTGGGCACCATTCTCATGGGATCTGACAGACGTCTCAGTCCACTGCAGTTTTACTTGGTGGTCACCGGTGCAAATGATAAGAGCAGTTAAATTTTAGTCACATTTGATTGTATGAAAGCAGATCAAGCAGTCCTGTGGAAGGAAAAAGCCTTATAGTCCCCCCAGGCAGCAACAGGGGAGCACAGCAGAGAGGACATGGTACGAGGTAGCTACACACCATGGGATGCAGCACACTGGATTCCCACCAGCTTGTATTTGCAGTGTACCTTTCAGGCTTGCAGGGTGCAGACTTATTGCACGTTGGAATTGCAAACATTTCTAAGCAGAGAGAAGCGTTTAGCTGTCACTCAGACAGCTACTGAACAGCAAGAAGGAGAGGGGACACTGGAATAAATACATTTGCTCATTAAAAAGCTGTTCTGCGATACAAGGCTTCTGTAAGGCAGGCAAAAGCTTATGTATAAACTAGAGCCTTGAGCCCTGGGTTAGATGATTAGTGTAGGCTACAGGGATCTATTTCAGGGTAATCTCTGGACAAAAGCAGGATATTTATAGTTTGGATGGACTCTGCAGGGTAGTCCACACTGCTCACATAAGACACCCTATGCCTGCAGTGACAGAGTCCTTGCGTTTGGGGATGAAGGAATCAGTCAACTTCACTGTAGCTTTTATGCTTCAGCAAGAGGGAAGATGCTGGCAGCCACAGCCTCTCTAGGTTTATAACGAGGCAACAGGTGAAATCAACTGCAGATGCAGTAAAATGCTGGGCTAAATCTTTCTGTAATGACAACTAGCTTAACTAGCTTGTATTAGTTATCTAGACTCATAGCTTCTCTCTCTCTTTACCTTTTCATTTTTTTTTTTTAGGAAAAAAAACAGAAGACAGCATGGATTTAAACCAGAAGGATCAATATTTCAAATATGGGTCTCTGGCTTCCAGCCTCTAATGACTTACATAATCCTTGTTTCTTTACACACAGATATTAAGCAAACTCCTTCTCTGTAAAGGTCAAAGGAAATTTTACCACTGAATTATATTGGGCAAGATTTCTTCTATATAGACTCAGCCCCTAAAAGTTTGAAAGCTCAGTTATAAGCATGATAATGCAAGAAAGGGCCACAGACAGTGAAGGAGAGCTATCAAGAAAAAAAAAAATAGGGTTACAATCAGATTGCATGATTTCTTGGAGTTGCTATGCACAGATGTACCAAATACCAGGACATACGTACATAAACAGATCCCTTAATTCCTAAAAATGTTTTTTTATTTAACAAGCCTCAAACACTGAACAAGCTCATTTTCTCAGTTTCTCTTGAAGAGCTCTTTCCTATCTTACAATATATAGACCTGGGCAGGAGAAATAAAATAGGAAATTACTAAAATACAGGCTATTGATGCAGAATATATCCTGCAAGTACTGTAGTTGCCACAAGGTAAGAAAAAAAAATTACAGTCTCTGAAGGAAAGCCATCTTCATATAAGAATTTGACTTTTTCAAAGGAAATCAATGCAGTGGTGTAACAGGACCAGATGCAATAGCAGAAAACATCTTTCAGAAAAAAATAATATATTAATACATTTTGTGCTTTTCATTCCACAGAAAACAGTCAATGCAATTCACCCAAAAGGTATGACTACTTCAGCGCAAAGAAAGAAAATGCAAAGGAAATGCTTATGTAAAATGAATTCCATTAAAATTTTTCGCTATAATCACGCTGCCTAATTTTCAAAATTTGAATGCCTACAGTTGCTTGCGCAGAATATAAAATTCAACACTTCAGCTGACACTTCAGAAGTGAGCTTATAGGCATCTATAGCAAAAACTGATTTAAATTCCAGTACAAGCATCTGAACTTACTAGTGTACTCTCATAGATGCACACACATCTGCTATAGCTAAAACTCCCCACAGATGCTGAGGTCTGTCCAGATACATTACAGCCATCGGTCCCAAAAGAGGAGCTGAACACCCATGGTTACAAAGACTGCAAGCAGAAATCTTGGCTCTGTGCAAACTGAGGTTTGAGCTGGGTATTTTGACATTTTTGTCCTAACATTTTACCACACAAATTATTCTGCAATGCAAACTAACAGTCAACATTTAGCTTTGCCACTATTTTAGAAGTCAGTAATAGGATTTCCACTATAACACTGGTGTCTTTCCTTAGACAATTCACAGACTATTGCCCAGGCACACGTTCTCTCATTTTTTTAATCACCTTTACACTGCACTGCTGAGGGTTCCCCTTCCATTATCTTAGTGCATAATTGTTTGCATTTTTCACTATAAGGTAGTATAATGAGCCTTTAGGGTGCTCCCAGATGCTGGTGTTTAGCTGCACTTTCAGTTAAATGAATCCCTTTTTTTTGTTTGTTTGTTTTTTTGTTTAACTGGAATTTGTTTCTCTGAAAGGGAACCAGCCCATCACTAGCAGGTCCTCAGAAATAAAGGGCAATAAAACATGAATTAGGCTGCAGCGATAGGCATTCAAGTGCTACTGACAAGATAGCAAGGAGATGATAAAATAAGAACAACTCCCAAATCTCATTCCTCTCTTTACTGTCCTCTGCCCTGCCCAAAGCCCATGTACACATTAATAAATGAGACTCAAGCAGTGCCCAAATTCTGTTCGAATCCTCTGGAGTGAGCCTGTAATATGAATTCTTGTGCAGGAACATTTGTTTGTATGATTTACCAAAACAATGACAGCTGGCAGAGGAGTGTGCTTGCGGACATGAATCATGGAGAGAATTTCCGGAAGGTGACCCTCGCGGGATGCAACGAAGAACATCCTGGTGGGAAATAAATGTGGACAGACTTTAAATGTGCTCATTACTGTGACTAGGCAAAGCGGCTCATGAAAGTCACAGAGCACAGAGGCACTTCCTAGGCTTATTGGAGGTATTCTGAATGAAAAGACTAGTAGGAGAAGCTCATACGCAAAAATCAAAGTCATCTCTGAACACATCCCCTCCTTATCTTAGTGTGATTAGTGTTTGGAATTCGTTAATATTTTCCCTCCAATTTCCCTCATTTACAAGAAACAAAACAGCTATTAATTAAGTGCTACACTGAGAGGGATCCCTTTCCAAGCCATTCAAAGAGTTTTAACAATAAGATACTAAATTCAATGGGAACAAAATGAGAAAAAGCCCCACACCCAGTAAACTACTTAGTCATTTTTAATTTCCTGCGGAAGGAATGAATCCTACTCTCCCTGCTCCTTGCTTCCTCACTTTCAGTGTACACCCCATGCCTTTTATCCCCAGTAATATTAGCAATGCTCACCTGGAGACGGCAAAAATGCCACCATTCATAGATCCAAAGCAGGAGAGAGCAACAAATACTGGTACAGCTAAAGAAAAGCTTCCCATTAGTCGTTCAGCAAAGGTCTGTTAGAGGAGAGAGAAACACACAGTGATTTTTCAGAAAACATGAAAGTAATTCTACTCTATTAACAAATTATTAATAAGTATGGTAAGTTTTATTTATAGCCCTTTTCTCCATCCCTCACTGAAAGTTGTGCTGTGCATTTGTTACCTCTTATTTTGTGACACCAAAGCTACTGCAGATGAAATCTCCCACCCTTATGCCTGACTGTGCCTGGAAGATCACAAGTTGAGGCAATGCTGTGGAGGCCTGATTTATTTAAGTTTAGACCATTATGATTCAAAAAAAAGAAAACTCAATCTGAATGGATCAAGGTCTGAGCTGCATATATATTTTTTTTTTTCTTACAGCCTTCATTTTACTTAGCTGATGCTACTCAGTGGTATAGTCCATCCATTCACACTTTATTGTTCTAGGTTAACAGAAGAGCTGTATTTGGGAGTTTTGGGCACCACAGGAGACATGCACAATTTTCTTCAGGTTTGCAAAACATTTTGTTTCTAGATCTCCCATGAGCTACAGAATTTGGTCATTTTTTAAATGCCACATCGATTGAAATAGCCACAGGCAGTGTCACTACTGGAAAGTAAAGAGAAAATTTTATTTTCTCATTGCGAGCCAGATACCATAAATATAAAAATCAGTGTTATCATCACAATTCAGCAAGAACAATCAAAGCAGCATTTCCAGCCCAGGTTGCCTTGTAACTCCTTCCCAAATGAACTCCAGTATTCACAGCAACCCCCTTCCAAAGTACTTGGGACGCATGTTGTGCAGAGACAGCATTACCACTTCTTGCTACAAAAACCAGTTCAGAGCTTCCACTTCCACAAATATCCGTGTTTCCCGCTGCCCAGGAGTTCAGTCTACAGTTTAGCAAAGAATTTTTCAAGCATGTACTCGGCTATAAAATTTAAGTCCTATTGACTTTGTTATATCAAGTCAATAAATATGCTCTAACATTACATTACAAATGCTGTTGGTGGCCTTAAATGCAATCCCACTCATCAGTCAAAACTCAGACTAAGATCACTAGGATGCTAATACTTGGTGTAAAAGAGGAGCCATATAAAAGCCCGATTGGATGTGTCCCCTCAACTTTTTTCCCTGGAAATAAGAACATATCAACAAACACAACTGCAGCAGGGATATAGCTTTGTATTTTTCTTCTGTGACTTACCACTGCTACAGCTTTTGAAAGCAGCAATTCCCCAGCACTGATTGTAGTGAAATAAGCCACGTTTGTTAACACATAGCCAACTGTGACGACAATCATTGAAATGCATATTGCGAGAGGTATGTTTCTGAAATACACAAGGTAGCTCATTATTTTGCAATCTGCTTGCTATTCCCTGAACATGAAACAAATAACATGAGAAGAAGCCACTAATGATGGTGAATGCACATTTGGTGATCCTGAAATATCATCATTAGCAACTACCAGTATAAAATAACACATCTAAACAAAACCATCTAGACAAAGCAAATTGGTTTATAATGAAGAGGTGAGAAACCACTTAAGGGAGGAGTCCTTTGGGGACGCCAAGAGCTTGTGGTCCCCTTGCTTCAAATATAAGAAATATGGCCCATTTGAGCTGCCTACTCATATTGACTTGCAAGCTGATCCCAATAGGAATGCAGCAGGTATCAGTGCTAGAACCAGCAATAAGGCAGATGGTAGAGGCAGGTGATGTAGTTCACTGTCTATTGGGAGAGAAATCACAGTGGCATCTCCAACACACCTACTGGCACTCAATGACTGACAACCTGGAGGTGGTTCAACATCTTGAGTTGGACTAGAGGACTTTGAAATGTCCCTTCCATTCCAAACCATTCTATGATTCTATGATCTTCCTCCTGGATGCCAAAACACCTAGCATGTGAAATTCTGCCCTCTCCTCCTCTCTGCAATTCTTCCCTTGTACACCTTACTATACCCTAATTATCTTCCTCATTATACAGGGATACATGAGGGCAGAATAAGACACAGAAATATGTACAGTACAAATAGTACTGAACACTACAAAACCCCTGACATCTGAACAAGAACAGTAACGCACAAATAAATAACACCACCAAACTTTTATACAGTATGTCCTCCCAGTCAGCAAAGCACAAAAATAGAATTATTTCTATTTTAAAGAAGAGGAACAGGGGTACAGTGAATTTGTCCAAATCCACACTGCAGGCAAATGTTCGAGTTCGGAACAAAACCCAGATGTTTCAAGTGTTTCTTTTCACTTGATATCATTGATATTTGCATCACACCAAGAAGAGACTCAGATCTGAAACCAATTTAATTCCAAGGTCCTCTAATTCCAAGGCCGAGAGTTGCAGTGGGGAAGACACAGTATGCACATTCCCTCTGAGAGCTGAGAGCTCCTGCTTCGTGGCCAGCTCCCTCCGGCTGTCTATATTAAGACTGCTTTTGAAGAGACGCAAAGGTTGCCACATTTAGAGAACTTTGTTGTGAAGGTCACCCCATCAGGTGAGAGAAAGGAGGGACAGAATGAGGAATTCTGGTGTCCCAGAAGAGATCACATGCACAGTCCTGAAGAATTATTATAATTACCTCAAAGTAAAAGGTGTTTTGAAAATCAACACAAAGTTTCATCATTTTCTGATTTTTTTTTTTTCTCAGAGAGACAGAGGTGGGTCAGAATTTAAGGATTCTCTTTACTATCAGTCCTTATTTCAAGAAATCCTTGATATCACTATGTCTGTATGCTAATGCCTGTTTAGAGCTGAAAAGAAGCTCTACACCGAGACTAAATAAATCAACCAAGACAATACCACTGTTGTACATCTTGTCCACCTTAGAAACCATGGTGTCAAATACTGTCATTAACCCAGACACACAGGTAGGTAGGTAAGAGGCTCGTGCCATATTGCAGCACTAAATCCAGCAGACACAATGATGCTGTGTTAACCCACTGCTACCTGACACACGTGGTCTCAGGTGAAGAAGCTGGAAGGAGGGGAGTCAGTCAGCTTGTAGGGTGTGCTTGTTGATGGAGAAGGCAATGGCAAGGACCAGAGCAAACAGCCTAGAACACAATTGCTGTATTGCTGGAAAAAACACAAAGTTACTGACTCAAGAAATACTGCAAAACCCTGTGTTGATTATCTGTCTGTGCAAAAACTGGGTTGTGTAGGTCAGTTGCCAGATATTTTGCAACTGGTTTAGTTAAGCTTCTTACCTGACCTGGGTGTCAATTGACTTCAATTCACTTAGCATCTGATTCAAGGTAGGGATAAATGGTTTCAAAGCCTCTCAGAACAGAGGTTTTAATTATAACTTTCTCCATCACAGTTGAATGCTTCAACTACCAGGCTATTGGATAAACAGCACTTATTCCAACCTTAAAAAAAAAAATGTTTCCAGCCAAAGATAGCAAATTTGTACTATATTCACAAATACCATTTGAATGACTGAAACCACATTGTTAAACTTAACAAACTATCTTTGTTCATTCTAGCTCTTACTAAACACCTGCTTGCCATATTCGCTTCTAATTTAAAGCTCAGTCTTATTTAATCTAAAACAAAGTGGCAGTTCAAAACCAAAAAACAAGGTGGGGGTGGGGGGGGAAATCATGCTTCCAAACATGACCATTTTCTTAGCACTGCAGGTCCTGCCTTATTATGCTGAAGAGCACCAACTCCCTTGGATAGTAATACCAACAACAACAACAAATAAAACCACTCAGGATAAGACTAAAAACCAAAAAACCAAGCCAGAACTAGTCAACAAGCACTATTCTTTTAAAAGCCTGCAGATCATAACTCATGCCTGGAGCAGCACAAGGGATGCTGTGACTTCTAAGCTCCCCAAGTCCTTGTCCTCTGAGCAAAGCAAGCACTCAAGTTGCCTCTCCTCTTGTCTCCTGGAAGGAGCAGGCCTTCAGAGAGCTGCCATACCTTCACACCCAGCCCTTCCGAGTGCTGCTTATTAGGCACTGCTTTCAGTGACAGATTGAGACAAAAATGACAGGTCAATTTTGAGCTTTCAGGAATGCATAATGCAGTACTGCTCATTTCTCACTGACGCCTCTGTTCAGATTTACACTTGGTCCTCGAATCATCTGAAAGCACAGACAGACACGTACACACCATTTGTAAAACCTCTAAGAGCTTTAATTGTATCTTTTCTAGCCATCCAATTTAAGAGGCAGTTCCCAGTTTGGAACAGGATACCATTATCAAATTCTCTGCTATGAACTACAGTCATTGCACTGGAATAAAAACTCTATTGCCATTAGCATTAGAGATTACCTCCTTTCCTTGGAGGACTACTGTACCAAGTTTCTGGTATTTTAGGTATTCTCTTAGATTTCCAAATCTTCTTTCCAAATCAGAAAAAATCGTACCTAAGTTCTACTCTCTGATAAATTGCTTCTATCGATGCAGATTTCACCTTTTAACTTCTGCATCCTATGAATCAAACACAACACAGGGTGTTAGCACACCAATCAGCCATTTCTGCTACAATGCAAATTCACATCTGCCAAACAGCTAGCTGAGAGTTTTGGACAAGAGGATGCCAGAAAAGAAAAGAAAAAAAAAAAAATATTTTTCACTTTAAGACTTTGATTCATTGAAGATAAAAGGTTTTTCATAGGAAACCTGAGCATTGAAGAATGACATTTCTTAAGAAAAAATCCTAGAACCAAGACAGAAAGCTCATCCAACCAGTAAAGACCTCAGAATGGCCAATGGCTTGAAAAACTTAGCATTGTGTGCGCTCAGATACAGTATTTTATTTACCTAAGGCAGGGCTCAGACTTGAACTTGTACTGAAGCAGCTACTGGTTACAGTAGGGCAGTGCTTGCCTTTTGCATTTCATCTCAGAATGAAATCTCAATAGATTTCAAAGTCAAGGGAAACTATTTTCAAATCAGCTGTTTTTCTGAGTACATCTTCAGGTGCTGACATTAGCCCCAAACATAGACAACGATTTGGAAGTGTCTCAGGGGTTACTGTCAAGACGATATTCAAGCAGGCTGCTCCTCAAGTAGAAGAGGAAGCTGTTGCCAGCAAAGTCTTTTGCAATATTAATCTCTCCTCCCAGAACTTTGAAGAAAAACAGTATCAAAAAAGAAAAAAAAAAAAAATGAGGAAACCTGAATCAGGAAAATAATGAGACTATAATTAAGAAGTCTTTATAGAATTAGATGAGAGACAATTAGGGTAGTTTTTCAGCATCTGAGCATTGAGGAAAACTGAATTAAATCTCCACACATTTTAAGATTTACCCATCCCTAGCCACTATTTAAAGCCAGATTTTCCCCTTCTGCCCTATACAGAAACCGATTGGAAAGAAGAATCGCAACTGCTCAAATGAAGAGCCCATCTACCATGCACTTCCCAGAAAAAAAAAGTCACTGAGGAGTCTACCATCACAGAGAAATTCAGCGTTAGTAATACAGCTAGTCCATCCTGGGCTGAAATGCATTGCCAAGCTATGCTGTATATGGCTTGGAAACAAATTTCCTTCTTTCGAGAGCCCGTAAAGGGTCATGAAACCAGGGCACAGGGTTCAGTTAATCAGGATATCCACTGGGGTTTGCATTTGACCTTTGGTGTTGCAGAATCATAGATCTTCTGATAATCTGCTCTGCTACTGCACTACCTCCTACAAATATTTTTGAGAGGAAAAAAACCACAAAGACCAAGTAAAGGGGTGGAGGGGAAGTAAAAAAAAAAAAAAAAAAAAAAAAAAAAAAAGGAAAAGAAAAAGAAAGTCAGAGTGAGAACCCAGGGATAAGGAAAACAATGTCAATAAATCAGCCAAGGCACATTCCCAGAAGTCTACAGCTCATATCCCAGCTTAATGACAACTTTTAGAACAACAAACAGTGAGTGCTAAGAGCTGTGAACACTGCGGGCTGTTCTTTCTATGAAATTACAAGCACACAGTCCAATCTGCCTCACCCAGTCAGCTGAGTTCACAAGCATGAAATACATTATTGCCACATCCTCTGTTGTTTATAGGTCATACCAAAATAATGTCCTTGAACCTATTTCAAATTCAGGTTTTACAAATTCTCAGTTTGATTCAACTGTCCTGGGAAAAGTTGCGCCAGAGGGACCCAGCCAAGAAACATAAATAAGAAGGTCTAAACAAATCAATTAATTACAGGTAAAGTTAGGTGAGATAAACCACTTCTTCACGGTGTCCTGGTTTCAGCTGGGATAGAGCTAATTTTCTTCTCAGTAGCTAGAATAGCACTCTATTTTGGTTTCAGTATGAGATTTGGTATGAGAAGAATGTTGATAACATACTGATATTTTTGGTTGTTGCGGGGAAATCAAGGATTTTCCAA